CGCGCGCAACCGCAGTCTCTAGGCTGGGAGCGAACGCAGCGGCTTCCCGGGAGCGGACGCGCAAAGACCGGGCCTCGGACCAGCCCTTTCGGCGGCTGCGAAGTGGCGGCACGGAGAGCTGGTGAGTCCGGGAGGCGGCGGCTGTTCCCTTCCGCCACCCGCGGGGCTCTCCACCGGCTGGGCAGCGGCTTGGCGCTCGTGGAGCAGCTACAGGAGAGTGTGAGCGGGGCGGGTGCTGGCCTTCAGATGAGAAAATTCGAGGTGGCGAGAAATGAGAAGTGGCGATGTTCCTGACTGCCCTACTCTCTCGCTGCTTTTCCTTTTCTCCGCACGTAGCATCTGTACACTTCATCTTTCCCGCCTCTTTTGCTGTGGGCCGCGGTCACCTCACTACTTCCAGCTCCTGACTAACGCAGGGCGGGGGTTGGCTCAGTCTCCGCAGCCGTGGTTTCGGGGATACCCTAGCCGAGGAAACCTGTCGTCCCCCCGTATAAGAATACTGCAATTCTCCGAGGGTGGCCTAGACGGAGAATCTCCTTGTGGGAAGGGCAGCTAGATAGCTCAGCCCCTACATTTTTGCTTTAAGGGAGTCTCTTTCATCCCAGAGTTGAAGTGTTGGGTTGCTGTTTTTTTAAGGAAGCCGATAAGTTGCTTTATGTGAGGTTCAGGGCCAGGTGAATGTGAGATTATGAACAGATATCTCTGACTTTATTCAAAAACGCACAAAAAGTTTTGGATTCCCCTCCCCATCTTAAAAAAAAAAGCCGTTGTTTTCATCTCTAATATAATGGGTTATACAGTGGTAGTTCTATAGCACCTGCCATTGTCTTTCTGGAGGTGGGAAAAGCTAGACCTCCGTGCTAGATCTGCTAAAGACTGTGTCGCCCCTTGTGTGTCGTTGTCCCCCCCACTCCCCGCGCAATTTGAGCCAAATCAAAAAACAGGAAGAACAGTCTGTTTTTCTATTTTTTGTTTTAAAAATTTCCTTTTTTAAACAAAAGGAATCCGCAGCATCAAAGAAAATTACTTTTTTCCAGAATTGAGGTGTTGTTCATTAATTTATTTACTTATTAATGCTTAATATGTGTGCAAACACTGGGATTGGTAAATGGCAAATAAATGGGTCTCTGTCCTCTTTCTCTCATGGTCTAACAAGGGAGATTACACAGACAAATAATGGTAACCTATTGTGATATAATAAAGTAGTTGACATTTATATAGCATTTCTTCCATGCACTAGTGTAAGTACTTTATATATGTTATGAGGCAGGTACTATAGATTATACAGTAGAGAGATGTTAGAGTGAAGATATAAAGAAGGGCAGAGATTGGACAGGAAAGGCTTCCCAGGAGACGTGACATTAGAATTGGGGTTTTAAGGATTTATAGGAGTTCATCAGGCAGGTGGGGTAGCGCATTTCCAGCACCATCCTTCTAGATGGTCCGTTAGGGCTTTTTGGTGTAGTCAGCAGATAGTGTGGGATGGAATCAACAGCAGGAGATTAGTGCTCTCTTAGAGGAACAGAGGCAGTCAGTTCAGATTAATTCAGTTCATTCAGTTCAGTTAATTCCAAATGGATTAGATATTTAAATGAACAACAAAAAGAAAACAATCGAAGAAAACTTAGGAGAATAATTCAATGATCTTGGTGTGTAAGATAGGAAATCCTGAAGTCATGACGGAAAAGAGATGTATTTGACTAAATAAAAATGAAAAATATTTGTCTGCCCTGGTTTAGTCTCTGGGTCTATAGTGATGGAAGCTGCCTCAATAGAGCTTATGTTCAAGTAACAGATAAAAAACAAGTAAGGTAATTTCTGGTAGTGGTCACTGCTGCTTAGAAACTAGGGTTGTGTGAAAGAGAATGCTTCTGGGACATGCTGCTCAGGTAGATGGTCAGACTTGTGTGAGGAAGTGACATTTGAGTTGTGACTTGAAATGGTGAAGAGGAAGCCACACAGCAACTTCCAGCAGGAAAAGCTTGGTGTGTTGGAGGGACAGAAAGAAGGCTAATGTTGCTGGAGTGTAAGAGCAAAGTGGTAGGAGATGGCCAGCTGGACACAGATCTGTAAGTAGGAGAGTAATGTGGCCTGATGTACATTCGTGAAGATCATTATGGTTGCTGTGTGGAAAACTGATTATAGAGAATGTTATTGGCTGGAATGTGTTCCCCAAAAGGATATGCTGAAGTCCTAACCCCTGGAACCTGTGAGTGTGAATTTATTTGGAAATAGGGTCTTTGCAGATGGAAAGTTAAGGTCATTGAACTCAGGTGGGCCCTAATACAATGACTAGTGTCTTTATAAGAAGAGGGATATTTGGACACAGACAGATATACAGAGAGAATGCTGGGTGAGGATGGAGGCAGAGATTGGAGTGATGTGTCTACAAACCAAGGAACGCTATAGTTTGCCAGCAACCACCGGAAGTTAGCAAGAGGTAAGGACAAATCCTCCCATAGAGGTTTCATAGAGATTGTGGCTCTGCTGACACCTTGATTTCAGACTTCTAACCCCCAGACCTGGGACTTTCCTGGTGGCACAGTGGTTAAGAATCTGTCTGCCAATGCAGGGGACATGGGTTCGAGCCTGGGTCTCGGAAGATGCCACATGCCATGGAGCAACTAAGCCCTCAGCATGTGGGCTTAGTTGTATGGCAGCCCTAGGAAACTAATGGAGGGGCAAGTATGGCAACAGGGAGACCAGTTAGGAAGCTGGTAGCAGCAGAGGTGGGGAGAAGTGGCCTAATTTGGATATATTTTTCAGCATCTTCAGCAAATTCAGCAAATCTTGAATTTGCTGGTGGATTAGATGTGACATGTTCTTACAGAGATGAATTAATGATGATGTCTAGATATGTTTTATGAGGAACTGGTGGTGCAGTTTACTGAAAGAGGGAAGAAAAGAATGTGGACTGATGGGAGCCATGCGTTTTTGTCTGTTTTACTTTTTATTTTGAAGTGATTTCAAACTTATATAATAGTTGCAAGAATCAAACCTAGATTTCCCCAGTTGTTAACATCTTACATATGTGGTTTGATTACAATAATAGTAATTTCTGAATCAAGGGTTCTGTTTTGGACATGTTAAGTTTTATTATTTTTAAAAATTTTTATTGGAGTATAGTTGATTTACTGGGCATGTTAAGTTGTATATATCAGTTAGACATCCAACTGGAGCTCAGGTAAGCTGAGTTAAATAAACCTGGAGCTCAGGTAAGGAGGTCAGAGCTGGAGTTATAAATTTTGGTGTTATTAGCATATAGATATACTGAAAGCCATGGTTCTGGCTGACATCATTTAGGGAAAAAATGAGGATAACAAAGGGAAGATGAGTCATTGCAACATTAGATACTGAACAGCATTGAAGAATTAACAAAATGGACTGCGGAGGTGTGCGCAGTAAAGCAGAAAGAAAATCCGAAAACTGAGATATCAAGGAAGTCGAGAAAGAAGTGTACCATGGGAATGACCAGCTAGCTGAGTCAAGTAAATGCTGCTGAGGAGTTGTGGAAGATGAGGATAAGCAGGTAACCACTGGATTTGACAGCATGGAGGAGGAGCAGAGGGGAAGAAAGGCTTGATTGGATTGAAGTGGAGGCTTTTTTATGTGTAAGTTTAATTAAAAACATTATGTTTTTGCATTTCAGCAGAGTATACACCAGTTTCTCAAAACCTTGACAATGTTGACGTGTTGGGCCAGGAAAATCCTTGTTGTGAGGGGCTATCTTGTGCGTCGTATAACGTTTAGTAGCATACCTGGCTTGTGTCCACTAGATGCTAGTAGCAACCCCGCCCTCCCCCCTACCCCCAGCCAAGTTGTGACAACCAAAAATGTTTGCGCACATTGCCAAATGTCCCTTGGCAGGCAAAATGGCCCATGATTGAGATTCACTGGTTTAGACTTTTAAATGAGAGGCTTGAATATTAATGGTAAAGTTTTAGGCATTAGCTCACTGAGTGGGAAGATATTTAGAGGCAAGCAGGGGACCTTTCTAGCACTCTAAAAATTTTGCAGTGTAGTGAACACCTACTTTGCCTATGATGCCTGTTTGTGTTGCATCTTTGATGATTCCATAAGGCACTTAATCTTACCTCGCACTGATGTCATCATTATGCAGTTATCATCATAGAGAATTTTGAATGTAACTATGTAGAAGATTGTCCTGAACCTGTATTAACCCCATCATTGCCTAGAAATTATTTTGAAAAAATAGTCAGTTACTTCATTTAATAGTCTCTTGATTTTTTCTCATGTAAATATGGTACAGAATACACAATCTTAAATTTTGTTTATTTTAAATTTCTGCTTCATGTATTCCAGAAAAATTCCCCTTTATTTGGCAAAACTACGCTTTTCTGCACACAAGGGAGTTAGTCTTAATGTGGCAGTTTTCAGTTAGCTGCAGAACTACAGATCTGGGGAGAGATCAAGAAAGTTGTGCAGTTATTCATCTAATAAATGTGGTTTGGAAGCACTGTCCAAAGTACTAAGGGTGCTATAAAAATGACTTAGATATAAAAAAAAATGACTTAGATATAGATCAAGGCCACCAAAATATTACCACCTAAGAAGGGAGACAGGACTTGTAAATAACTAATTATATTAAGAGTGAGAAGCATTGTTAGAGAAGTACTGTGCAGATAAAGTATTGTAGACATTCAAAGGAGGGGGTGATTACCTCTAGCAAGGGATGAGAAGAAGGAAGCGTGGAAACCAATAAAATAGTCTCGGCATTTGTATAGGACCTTAATGGATGGTAGGAATTGGATTTAAAGAGCTGGGAGAGGCCTATTCTAAGTGGATGAAAGAGCATGAACCCAAGATGTAGAGATCAAAAATAATTTGGTTTGAGTATGGGAATGACATAAGGAATTTAATGTGACAAGGTTGTCATTTCACTTTTGTGGGAAAAGGATGTTTTAATCAATAAATGCTGGTAGTGCAATTTGCTGTTCATCTATAGGAAAACCAACTAGATCACCTTATCATAAATTACA